CCCCGCTCCAGAAGAAGGGCTCAACCATGACGATGAAATGTACTCAAATACCAGAACGCGTACACACGCACTGGATTACCACGTAGTTCCAGAAAACGTGGAGCGTGTAGTCCACGTCGGCGGCCGTCAGTGTCGCCACGCTGCCTGCGAACTGCGCTCCTCACACTGTCGACATGATGTGGGGAAGGAGCAGTGGGGCAACTACTGGGCAGAACCCGCAGTGCACGGCGAACTGTGCTGTCTGGTGGAGGACAGGAAGATAGGAGTATTCCAGCGGGGGAATCGGCGGGGAGGGGACGTAGAGTCCCGGCACCAGGTGCTGAGAGGATTCATCCGTTACCACCGCCGTTGCTGGCACCGCCACCGCTGGCACCGCCGTCGCCGCAGCCATCTCTGGTGCCGGTATCGCCGCGGCCTCCGCAGCCGCCTCTGTCACCGCCGTCGCCGTCGTAGCCGCCGCCGCCGCCTTAGGCGCCGCCGCCTCATCCGCAACCGCCTGCCGCCTCGTTATCTCTTCCTTCACCTTTGCGAAAAGCAGCTTTCGCCGCTCCTCTCGTCCAACCGTTACGGCTTGACGAGCGGAATCAACTGTTCAGTCTCGTTGGCTTCGCAGCCTTCGTTCCTCTTCGCATGTCTGGCCAGCGCTGCAGCCTTGTCCTTCTGAGGCTGCAGGGGAGGGAGCGCCGCACTGGGCAGCACCAACGCCGCTCTAGTCGAGAGGGGGGTGTCTTCCTCGTGGTGCTCTTGTTGGAACAACCGCTCCTCAGCACTGATGGCGTCGGTGACGTCATGATGCTGGCCTATTCTGGAGTCGGTCTCCAGCTTGCGGAGCTTCTTGCGCTCTCGCTCGCTTGTTCTTTGCGGCCTTCGACCGCGCTTGACGTCCGAAGACTGCAAAGTCGGCCGTACCCCAGTGGAAGTCCAGTTTGTTGCGCACTGACGGAGTTCATGATGAGACTGAGCGCCATAGAGGTGGGTTCCCGTCGAGGTTCAGATAACATATGGATTTGCGGTAGCAAACAGGGCAGATGTAGAGGAAAACGCATGTCAATCAACGTACGAGTGGCGACGCTCGTGTTGACGATGGGAAAGAATGCTCACGACGCACGCCTTCATGTCTCAGTCATCTTTGCTTTCGGCACAAACAACGGCTTCTGTGGGGTGCGCGAAGTACAAGCTAATAATCTTTCTATCGTGGTACATGCCGCAGCTCCCGAAACATCGTGAGATGGGATTTTCGCAACGAGATTGTAGGCATGAGACATCCGGCCTTAGCCTCTTGAAGGTTTTTCTGCGTGTCCATTCGCAGACTTGGCGAAAAATACACGATCTTAGTTTTTATTCTTGAAGAAAAGGAGAATCTTCAATGTGTGCGTTGACTCTCGTAGTCTCCGCTGGTACATCATCACAGAACACACTGCCATCCGGGTAATACATGTACAGAATTCAAGACGATGCCGCACCTCAACCCAACAAACTTCAGTGAAAGGAGCGGCGTTTGCATACTATCAAAGCGAAGGCTCGCCGTCGGTACTTCAGCATACTGAAGAACAATTATTTTGACGTGTGTATGCCCCAAACCGACAGTATGTGAGGTTTCCGTGGTTTCGTTCTAGAATATGAATCATTTCTCCCCTGATTCGAAAGGAGACCGCATTTAGTTCGATTACTTTTATTGTTCCCTTTTTTCGAGGCACCGCTACGATGAAGTCGCAATGAAACCTGCTATCCAACGGGGCGACTATCTATCCTCGTTTCCAACAAGATGTGGGTATTTTCAACGAGAAAGTGAACTTTTGCAGGGATGAGATAGTCCTCTTCTAGACTGAACAGCAAATATACCAAGGTGCGCAGGCTACAACGCTGCCCTTTCCCTCGACTTGTCCGTGACCTGCTGCACCAACCACTGCGAATGACGAGGGAATGATGAGGGCGTAATAGGACAACGAAGGGAACCGTTTTGTGCCACGATTCGATTTCGGAGCTCTTGCCGGTCAACGATATTACCCACCACGACATGTCAGCATGCTCACATATCGAGGGAGATATGTTCAGAATGATAAACTCGCTGGGACCTCCCGAACGAGCAACCAAAGGATACACGGTCAGTGGTGCAAGGAACACGACGACATTACGAGCGAAATGATGTATCGAGGCGAAGAAGAAAGCAAGTGATATCTGTGTGACCTTTTGTGACACATGTTCGAAAATGAACAATCGGGTTCATTGCTTTTGCTGGTGGTGCGTGAAATTTTGGGCTCTTGGTCACGACGAACACTCGAGAAGACTCGGAAGAGAAACAAGCTGACACACCGCACGCTCGTCGCATCCCACGCCCCTATCTGCACCAGCCCCGCTTGATGTCTAGATGCAGTGTTGGCCTTAGAACGCGCTTGTTTCCAGAGTGCACGGACCCGACATATCAACAGGAGACAGGGAATGATTTCTCTGGACCGCTCTCTCACCACGATTTTGACGATCATAGTGCGGGTAACGCAGTGTCCGTGCAGTCATGGCTGACACGACACAAAACTATTACGGACAGCGTACAGGTAGACTATGCATCCAAGTACCAAAAATCCCCAATATGAATCGTTCGGGTTGGTCTCCGTCGAACATGTCAGCAGCATTCCTTTTTCCTGGGGGCACCTCTGCTCCCCCTACCATACTACATAGCTCTCTCAGTTTTTCTACAATATATTTCTACGATATATTGGAGACAGCGAGGAGAACAAGTCCGAATAATAGGTAGCCTGTATAGCAAGGCCGATGTTTGGGTTGTTTCACGTCACCGCAATACCTGCTTGCTCCGGCGGGCACCGACGTGCGAAACGATCATGTAGAGGCCGACCACAGTGACCACTACAAGGTCAGAACTACTGATGACATTGGGACAATATATCTACAGAGGATGTGGAAGACGCAGGTAGGCACACCCATCTGCAAACGAGAGGCGTGGAGCTGCACCAATGCATGGAGAAGACTGTGAAAAGCCTGAATTATCCTGAATACTCGTACGTACTCATGTGAAGGCCGCAGACCACCCGAGAACCGTCCCTTAGTGAGAGTCCCTTAGGCTGAAAGAAGGGCTGGTGCCACAGTACTACTGCTACCTCTCCAGCCTATTGCGTAGGGAGATTCTTCATCGTCAACTCTGGAGCGTCAAGATGGACGCTCTCATCGCAGCAGCTTTCCACTCCTTATTCGCTGCGTCATGATCACGTATAGATCACCCGAATGAAGTTCACAACTCTCACCTGCAATCCTGGCTGAAATGTGAGATATGTTGCATTGTGATGGTCGAACTCGACGTTAACCTCGACTCTTGTCGCCGTGGATTTGATGGTTTGATGGTGTGATGATGCGTGTCTGGGTCGTAATTGGGATTGTGCATCATGAAACCGGATTTGATGTGAATGAGGGAAATGTTGCGCGTGCAGGGAGCGTGGCAGAGAGAGTAGACTAAATTTAGT